CTTGATACAAAATCAGTTTATATTCTGCAGAAGTTTATAATAAAGTGTTTTATTAATAAAAAAGTTATTCCAGAAGTAGGCATGCTGTATATTAGTAAAACAACCTTGGAATTTTTGTTTTATTTTTATTTTTTATTTTTTTGATACTGGGGATCGAACTTGGGTATTTGCACTTGTGAGGCAGGTGGCGGAACCACTGAGCTAAACCCCCAGCCAACCTTGAAATTTTTAAATCGCCAGGACAAGCACCTACACATGAAGAGAGAAGAAAAATGAAAAATGTATTAAAAAGACAAATGGCTTTTCCTCTCACACTCAGTCTCCTGACAGAGCAAAAGAAAAAAAGAATAAGAGACACAGAGAACTCCCAGCACTCAGGGGAAAGGCTGAGGCAGGAGGATTGCCGCAAATTTGAGGCCAGCATAGGTTACATAATGGGTTCAAGGCCAGCCTGGAATACAAAGTGAGACTGTCTCCCTAAATGAATAAATGAATGAATGAATGAGAGAGACAAAGACATAAATGAGAGGACATACTATTCTATATAGTAACCTACATTCAGTTCTGTCCAATGAAGGTTATTTGTTTGAGGCTGGAGATTTAGCTCAGTGGCACAGCGCCTGCCTGGCAAGTGCAAGGTCCTGAGTTTGATCCGTGGTTCTGCAAAAAAAAAAAAAAAAAAGATTACTTTGTTTTAAAATGTGTAATATCTACAAATTATATTCAATGGCCTGTATAAGTGACAAGCATAAAAACATTTTCTTGTATTTTTAATTGGCTTTGCTTATATTTATGTTTCATTGGTTTAGTCTTCCCTGTATAAAGGTTCATGGCTTCTTTGTGGAATCTTTTTATTTTATAGTATTTTTAAAAACCTTCTTGTAGTACTTAATGCTTTTTTCTTGATATAGTTTACCACATATGTTTTTTGTTTATTTCCCTCTACTTGATAGATTTCACTTTCCCTTTGTTTTCAGGTAATCTGTTTTGTTTTACGTGTTTCTCTTAGGAGCAGGAATTTTAGTTTTTACCCAGTCTGACAGATTGCCTTTCTTGGGGATTTTCTCCTTTATTATGATTATGCCTTTCACCTTCTGTGCTTTCTTGTCTTCCTCCTCCTCTTCCTCCTTTTTCTCCTTCTATTCCTCCTCCTCTACCTCCTCTTTCTCCTCCTCCTCCTTGTAATAATTTAAATTTTCTTTCATTTTCCTCCCCCTCGTTCAGAGAACTTCCTGTTTTATTCTACTAATGACATTATTTAAATGAAAATATACATATTTAAATCTATCAAAATGTTAATGGAGTCTCTGTGCAGGGCAGGGGGAGGGGGGACCTAGACCTTTTTTATTGCCTTCTTTTCCAAACTCCAGTCTCAGGTGTATTGAAATCATGTGAAATGTTATAGATTTAGAATGGTTTTTTGTCATCCCCCACCCCTGCCCCAGGATCAAATTTAGGACTTTGCGTTTGCCAGGCAGGCGCAGTACCACTGAGCTACATCCCAGGCCCTAGAATGTTTTTGAAGTATAAAATTTCTCTTTTAACAGTAACTCTTAAACTGGCATTAAGATACACAACTGCCTTCATAATAGTTACTTTATACTGAACTGTTCTGGTTTATCACGGATTCCTGCTTTTTTCTCTTAGTTTAGGAAGAATTTCTTAAGCTGATATTCAGTATGGATCATCTAATTGGATCTGCTAAATGGTTCAGTATGGATTTACTAGTTTGTTTTCAATAATAATAATCCTTTATTTATAAGTAGAAGTCTTCATCTATTCTTTTTTTGTTGGGTACTCTGAACTCTTATCTCCTGAGCAGGAAATTTGTCTACTTGATTAAATAGCTTTGTTTCAGCTAGGGGTCCAGTAGTCCCTCGGTATCTGCAGGGGGTTGGTTCTGGGACATCCTCTGGTATACTGTTAAGTCAGCTCCAGAGTACTTGTAATACATAATACAAAGTAAATTCTATGTAAGGACATATTATACTATATTAAGAAATAAAGTGTATGTGTTTCAGTACAAATACAATTTTTTGTTTTTTCGATATTTTCAATCTGCATTTGGTTGAATCCACAGGTGCAGAACCACAGATCAGAGAGGGCCAACTATACATTGAAGTTGTAAGAGATAATTTTGGCCCCTTTTTGTAAATTGATACAAAATTGTCCTGGTTGTTGGCAGGTAGAACACAAGTGACATTACATCTTGAAGTACCTCTCCAGAGGAAAGGAAAAAAAAGCAAAAAATAAAAAATAAAAAAAGAACCCTACAGCTACTTTACCATGTAACACCTGCCCCCCCCGCCCCATACCGGGAATCCAACTTAGGACCTTGCACTTTACAGGCAGGCATGGTGCCACTGAGATACATCTCTGGCCTACATTACCATGTATATTGGATCTCCTAGCGTGTCTTTTCTTCTCCTTTTTTTCATAATTTTATACTCTTTTTTTCTCTCAGTTTAGGAAGAATTTCTTGAGCTGGTATTCAGTATGGATCATCTAATTGGATCTGCTGATTGAGTTCAGTATGAATTTACTAATTTGTTTTTTCTGTTGTTGTTTTTTGAGACAGGGTCTTGCTGCATAATTCAAACTGGCCTTGAACTCACTATGGAGCCCAGGCCAGTCTCAAATTTGTGGCAATCCTTCTGCCCCAGCCTCCGAAGTGCTGGAATTACACGCATGTGCCACCATGCCTGGCTGGATTTGCTAGTTGTGATTGCTGTAATGCACAGTTTTCTAGTTAGTGTCTTTTTGGAGTGTTTTTCTTTGGCAGTTGTGTCTTTCACCTTCAACAATGTCTTCATAGTGCTCCCTTTTTTTTTTTTTTTTTGGTTTATGACAGCCTATTCTTATTTGAATTCCATTGAGATATTTCTGATTTTCTTCCTGTTTCAGATAGCATCTCTGTTTAAACCCATAGCTTGGTCTTTTCTCCTTTTGAATGGCAGAATATTTTTATATCCAGTTATTATCCCTTTGTTTATACATTTGGAGGGATGTTTGCATTTGGTCTGTAGCTGAGATGAGTTCTTTCAGAAATTGTGTAGGTGTTTCTTTGTTCTAGAACATTTTCTCTCTAGCCCAAAACCCACACGTGCAGTAGCCCACACCTAGTCTACCTACACATCTCCTCATGTAGCACCTCAGTCCCATATGTGAACTACATGACAGACCATGGGCTGCTCCCATAGTCTCCAAGGATACATACTATGAGGAGAGTCAAATTTTTCCCTGCTTCAGCCTGCAGCTCTTAGGGGCCGTTTGAGAGGCTAGTGTGTGTGCATTGGAATATTGGAAGGAGGGAAATCCTGAACACACTTCTGAGTTAAATGGTTTTCAGATCTGCTCAACTCTGCACGCATTGCTTCTACTGAAGCCTTTCAAAGAGCTGGGACCTTTCCAAGCTCTTTGTAATCCAAGAATGGTTTTTAGCCAGTTTGGACCACTTCTCGTTTATCCTTACCCCCTCTACCCCATATCTTTGTGTTCACCTGAAACACTCTCTTTTGTTTTTGTTTTGTTTTGAGACAGGGTCTCATTCTGTAATTCAGGCTGGCCTTGAATTGACTATGTAGCCTAGGCTGGCCTTGAACTTGCAGCAGTTCTTCTGCTTCAGCCTCCTGAGTTTTGGGATTACAAGTGTGCACCACCATGCCCTGCGAAGTGCTGTCTTCCTAATCCCCATTTCCATCTATGAAAATTCCACTCATCATTTACTTTGCAGTTTAAGGCCATTTTTTTAAAGAAACTTCTGAGACTCCCTCCACCATATGTGATTGGCCCTTTATCATGTGATCTGCCTTATATTCTAGCTATTTATGGCTTAGTCTTCACCTTCCCATTTGCATTATGAGTTCTTTGACTCATAATGGGGCATAGTGGTGCACACTTGTAATCCCAAAACTCAGGAGGCTGAAGCAGAAGTACTGCTGTAAGTTCAAGGCCATCACATCTTGTTCACCTTTATCGAGGGGCATTAGAACAAAAAAGTTAGAAATGAGGTTTGAGTGCCCATTCAATACTTAGTAAACCCAATGAGACCTTGGGCAAGTAAGTTATTTAACCTTTGAGTGCACTTTCCCTTTTGGAAAAATGTCCATAACATAGGGCCTTCATAGGGCCGGGGATTTAGCTCAGTGGTTCCAACACCTGCCTCGCAAGCACAAGGTCCCAAGTTCGATCCCCGGTACCAAAAAAAAAAAAAAGGAACAACCTTACCTCATGAAGTTGTTTTGACGATTAAATGAAATAATATTGCATGGTGAACATTGACATAAATGTTACTTCCTTTTTCTATACCCTAGCCCACACAGCACCTCATCTATGCAGGCGTTTGGTTAATGGTTGTTAAATGAGTAAATGTAGGTCTAAAGTGCTTTGTGCAAAACTCACTTTTGCATTAAGTCAGTGGCAGAGTCCAAAAATCTAGGGTTTCTGAGTATCCCGTACTTATTCCCACCTGCATATACTAAGTAAGTGAAACTCTTCAAATTATATTTCACTCTCTAGAAGAGGGTTTTGTTTTTGTTTGTATAGTTGGTTGGTTGGATTTTCAAATAAATAATTGCTTTCTTATCTGCTTTGAAGTTTTAGAATGAATTAGCCACAGATGGAATCTCAAAAGAGAAGCAATATAGTGTTGAAAAACTTGATTCAAAGTAGAATTTTAGATGATTGTTGATTGTTAACTCCTCCTCAGACTCCATAAATCCATCAGTGAATGTGTTAATTCTATGTATGGTTTTTCCTTTGTTCTTCTCTATTATATTAAAGGTGGCGTGTCATCTTCCTCTGTCTATTGTCTAGTGAGGTAGGAAAATCTTCCTTGATTTTATGATTTCAACTAAGCTCAAAGGTCTGATTGTATTTTCTTAGTGGAAGGAAATTTGTAATTTCTTTTTGCATTGAGTACTAAACCTTCTTAGGAAGGGAGGGTGCTATGGAATAAATACACCTTATAGGAAATTCTCCCCCTTTTTAATCCTCTTTAGGGCCAAACTACCCAAAGTGTGGGAAACTTGCTGGACATGATGTACCAGGAGCCAGCGCGATGGTCCTATACATTCCAGACTTGTTCCTTTATGAGCCGCTTGAAAGTACAGCTGGAGCCCTTCCCTGAGAAACTCTTACAGGCCAAGAACCCCATGCAGATCTTTGAGAGGTCTGTGTACAGTGACAGGTAAGATGCCAAACCCTCTACCAGTCATAAGCCTCTTGTTTGGTTCTGTTTTCTCTTCTTACACAGGCCATGTACTGCTCTACTTATTAAAAGTTGTACTTTGGACAAATCTGTGTAAAGTTGCCTTTACAAAGAAGACAATTCTTCAACGTTGTAATTCTGCTGAGATGTCATATATGTTAAGAAAAATTTATGTTTTTTATAAACTAATTGCACTGAATTTCCTGCAGTGCCACTGATTGCCTTATGTTTCCTTATTTTACTGCATGGAGGCAAGCTGGTAGCTACCTACTATAACCATTACATGCTAAAAGGCACAGAATAGATCAGGTAGTAGCAGTGTATATTCTCAGAGACCAGATGGTTAGTTATTACCTTTAAGAAAAAAGTTGATGGATTTAAAATTTGTATTCCCAAAATGATTACAGAAGATGTATTTATCCATTTTTACTCATCAAGAAAAGATGTCTAGGCAAAAATAGCATATCCATGAAATTGGCTTTTGTCTCAATTTAGCCTTTTTTTTTTTAAACTCCTTTTGTGACAGGGCTTACTGCTCTCCAGAGTCTAGAATTGAAAACAAGCACATGTATCACCTCAGGGGAAGGGTACATCCTGACCACCTCGGGGAATGAAATGTAAGGTTACTTTTAATAAAGATCAGCAGCTAGCATGGGAAGCAAGCCCATCTGTTCCAAAAGAGGTAGCCTATCCAGGCTCCTGAATTCCTGGCTCTGCCACAGAGACCAAAGCATGACTTGAGGTTAGGACACCCATAGATGAAGTCAGGTGGTTGATCAGAACACTGCTGAGTTGGTTTGTTTTTTGGGGGGTTTTTTTGTATCTGAAGGTTGTAAATGACTTTTGTCAGTGAAATGGTACCTTCAAGCAAAATTATATCTTACTTAAACCCTGTTGATATACCAGAATGAGGGCCAGGGATTTAGCTCAGTGGTTCTGCCGCTTGCCTCAGAAGCACAAGGACCTGAGTTCAATTCCCAGTACCAAAATATATGTATAATATATATGTATATATATGATATACCAGAATGAAAAATGCTGCATTTTCATTGTCCATTCACTGCTGAAGACATTTAGCTGGTTATCCATTTAATTCCAAATTAGATAAATTACTTCTTCTTAGTGCTCTCATAAAGCCTCCTGGAAGAAAGAAATAAGGGTTCACATGTAACATGAAACAAAACTCTTGGAGTTACACATTCCTTCTTTCTAGGCCCTGAGAACCTACCCTTTATAAAAGCTACATGTGTACATCATGATGGCTGGGCTCTGAGTTTTACTTCTTTTTCCACTGTTGGCTGTACTGCTGCCTGTTTTCCTCTCTCTCTACAAAGCCTTGTCTCTCAGATTAGGAAGCTGAATTACATATAATCACCCAGGTTGCTTGGAAACATACGCAGTTGATCTTTTGAATTCTAGATCCTCAGTGAGGTAGCATGCAAGATACCTCTCAGAGGAAAACAGAGAAATAGAAATACTTTGTTAATTAGAAATGCTTTGTTAAGAAGCTACCTAGATATTGATATTTACTTATAAAGAAAGAAGTAAGAATTGATTACACTATAGGGAGCTACAGCATTTCAGGTGCCTTAAGGGTGCATTTTGAGATAGAAAGGGTAACTAATCACAAATTCTAATCTTGGAGGGTAATTTAGACCTTTTCTATTATTTCAAAAATTCATACCAGGGACTGGGGTTGTATCTCAGTGGTACAGCATGAGGTGTTCGGAGCAGGGGGGAGCATCCTTTTATTTGTTTGCTCAGCACAGATTTATTGAATGCCTCCTTTGGGTACTAGGCTTAAACCTGGAGCAGAGAAGGAAAACCTATTCCTGGTCATAAGTATCATAGTTCAGTGGGACTGAACTCATGCTCGTGTGGTGTGGTGTGTGTCCCAGAGGAGGTATATTGGTTATTTGGGAGAGTGGAGTGCAAGGGCGAAGAAATCTAAGACTTTTCAAATTGAGTTAAAGGGAAGCATATAGTTTTAGAGCAGGGGCTCCAGCCAGTAGGTACTTAAGCCTTGTTCTCTGCAGTACCTACATGCAGTCTGCAGTAACTCCCTTTCCCCTAGTGCTTAGCACCTACCCCTACCATCCCCCTTCACCCATCTCTACTGGCTTTGAGGAAATAAGAGACGTATTCATCCTGAGGAGCAACAAGGCCCTTTTTATAGGATTTAGGAATTTTTCTTTATAAGATCGAAATTTCATCTTGTTTTCTATAAAGAAGCTGAACGTTTTTCAGAACTTGACTTACAAAAGTCACATTTTTCTCATTTTCTTCAGTTAGACTATAGCTAGACCATACTAAACTGGGAGAGTTTACTTTTAGTATTTCTAAATTAGCCTCTTCATAGCCTAGCAAAAAGCAATTTAATTATAACTAAAAGATACCTTGAAGGCCAGGGATTTAGCTCAGTGGTGCTGTGCCTCTCTTGCAAGCACAAGGTCCTGAGTTCGATCCTCAGTACCAGAAAAAAAAATACCTTGAATACTATGCCACTCACTCTTTGTCTTAGTTATTTTCTCATTGTTAGGACAAAATACCTGACACCCACAATTTAAAAGAAGAAAGGTTTATTTTAGCTCACACTTTGTAGAGATTTCAGTTCATAGCCAGCTCCAAGGCAAGGCATCATGGCAGAATAAAAACAACCCATGGCATGGCATGGAGGGATATCCTTCCAAGTCACACCACAGTGACCCACCTCTTCACACTAGGCTTCACCTGCCAGTATCACACCCACCTGTAAACCCATTAGTGCACTAATCTAGTATCACACACCCATGATCTATTCTAGTCCCCAAATCCCCACCTATTAATGCATGGCGCTTTGGGGGGACATCTACATATAAGCCATAATACTCTTCTGTGGACTTTATGAGTATAATATGCAGTTAAGACAGTGGGCTGAGAGAGTTCAGGTGACTTTCTAAGGTGACATGGCTAGTGAATGTTAAAGTCAGGATTAGATCCTGCAGTTCCTCCTGCAGCCCTCATCTCTTACAGGTGGTACTCAGCCTTACAGTTTGCACTTCTCTGAGCAATTCCTACACAGGGCTTCTGAGTTTCATTTACCCAGAAGTGCCCAGTTGCTGGTGTTGCCTTAGAAACTGGAGGTTACTGTTAAAGATGGAAATTGTGTTTTATATGCCTGAGGTTTGAAAGCAGAATTGACCCTTCTGAAGCCATGGTTTCTGTTTAGCTCTGATTTTCTATTTATCAGGTCCTCCTTTTGTTGTGGAAGTACGCAATGAGAAAAGTGGGTTTGATTTTCACCTTCACCTTCTTTTATCTAACTTAGAAGCACAGGAGCAGCAGAAACAAGCTAGTAAGAGCTTTGGAGGATAGTCTGCTTTCTTGCTAATAATGAGGTCAATGGGAAATGCATTTCCTGCTCTATGAATGGCACCACATAAAGACAGTTGCCTCTCTACTTAGCTAGAGAAAAGGATGGTTGGAGACTTGGAAGGGCTCAGTACTTAAGTGAATTGTTGTGGGTGACTTTATACTTAATTCACTTGATTTTTGTTTGGAGCCTTGCTAGAATAACAAGGAAATCTCAAAAGTTCAAATTTACATCCATCCTCTGCTATGTCCTCTGACTGGTTTCTAGCAGGGAAAATTGTCAGGGACCGATGTGTTCCTCTTCCAATGTCTTTCTCCCCCCATTCAGTGAATTACTGCATCTCAAAAGTTGGTTTCACCCTTTAATTCTAGGTGCTATTTCCCATCAAACTGTTGAGCGGGGGTGGGGGGTGGGGGGGCTGTGGGTTAAGAATTCAGATTGCTTAAGGATTGATGAGCTAGAAAGGTTAAGTGGTTTGAACAAACATGGAACAAGTTGGTTATTGATTTTTCTGCTTCTCTCTGTCTCTCTTGTGCCTTTCATTCCATTTCCTATTCTTCCCCTCCCCTCCCTGCTCCTACCCCATCCCACTTACATTTCCAACCAGGTACATCTTTGCAAAGAATCTTTTTGAAAATGGTTCCCTCAGTGACACTGAATGGCAGATCTATCAGGACTGGCATTCTTTTCTCCTACAGGAGTTTGCCGGCCGGCTCTCCTTACATGGCTTCATCTACCTACAAGCTACTCCCCAGGTAACTCTGAACCAAAGGCTTAGACTTTAGGGCAATAGGAAATCCTTTAAGAGACATTTTGTAAGCCCCTGATTTTCTAGTCAGAGAAGTCAGAGTGCAGAAAACAGCGGGTGAAGTCCTGCATTCTAGCACTGAGCACTGCATTTCCCATATGGAGCAGCACACTCAAGCAATTGATTGTGTATAGAAGGGTCCTTCTTGTTGGAACAGAAAGCCAGAACAGATTGGGCATCATCTCCATCTCACTCCAGATTTGTGTCTCCGATGCTCTGACCTGCAGCCAATAGCCTCTTCCTTCCTTTGGTATGGTCGTCAGAGGCTATAATGGTCTTGTTGGGGCTAGATATTGGGCATCTTTGTATTGGGAATTTCTGGTGATTATAACATAGAAGTTAGATTATAGGAGGAAATAACAGAGTGTAAGGTTTAAAATGAAACTAAATGTCTTAGTCACTTTTTTTGACGTGTTACACTGTACTCCACACCCATCACTTAAAGGAAGAGAAGTTTATTTTTGCTCAGAGTTATAGTTCATGGTTGGCTGGCATTGCAGAGGAAAAAGTACTGATACCATGGTGGCCAGAAAGCAGAGAGAGAAGGGAGGAGCCTGGGAGGGAGATATTACCTTCTAGGTCATGTCTCCATTGACCCTCAACTAGGCCCCACCTCCTTACAGCAAGTCATCTATAGGGCCCCATAATCCAGTCACCTTCCAAAAGCCTCACCTCTGGGCTTATGAGAATTTTGGGGGCCATTCTTGATCTAAACCATAACACTAAATTAGAGGTTCAGTGAGGCCAGAGGGCTGAAAAACTTCCATGAAGAGAATCAAGTTCAAGGTAAGTGTATTCATGACAAGTTGACTGGCTGGGTCACATTTATGTGACTTCTTTCAGTGGTCTTTAATTTAGGGGAGTAGGAATAGAAGAGGCAAATTTTGAGGTGATTATACTTCAGGAAAAGGGATTGGTGTCAGTGAATGGAGAAAGAGGAGTCCTCTGCCAAAGAGAATAGCTTGAAGTAGCTATGACAATAAAGTAAGAATTATGCCAAATGCTTAAAAGAGTTTACCTAGTTTCAGGCGGGGGTGGGTGGGTGTGCAATTTCCTGTGTTAAATTAATAGTAAAACAGGACCAGGGATTTAAGCTCAGTGGTGCTGCTTCCTGCCTTGCAGGCCAAGGTCCTGAGTTTGATCCCCGGTACCAGGAACAGAACAAAACAAATTAATAATATAACAAACACGAACATTTCTTAATAGATCAAAGTAAGAATTGCTCTGTTCTTATGTGTGCTTGGAAACAAAGCCTATTATAAAAAAAATACTTTAATTCAGATAATATTTTTCCCTCTGAGGAAAATTAGGTAGCTTTGCTATGTTTAGGCATCCTAACTACTTGCTTGTTAACTTGTAAGGAGGCAGTTTGACAATATATAATAGCAAGTGCTCTCATACCTTTGACCTATGAATCATAGTACTTACAGTTCACTTCACTGAGGGTCCACTAAGGGTCCAGGCATGGTGGTGCATGCCTGTAATCCCAGCACTAGGGAGGCTGAGACAGGAGAATTACCGTGAGTTCGAGGCCAGCTCAGGCCTCGAGCGAGGTGAAGGCCAGCCTGAACTACATAGTGAGACCCTGTCTCAAAAAAAAAAAAAGTTCCATTGATACACTCACACATGTGCAAAATAGCCTGTGTACAAGGCAACATTGTTTGTAACAGCAGATTAGTAGAAACAATCCAATGGTTCATCAGTAGAGGCTATTGAATATATTATGCTCTGACCATAAACTTAAAAAGCTCTGACACTGTAAAAGAGAATGAGAGAGTTCTTTCTGTACTGATGTGTAACAGTATCTAAGAAATATTCTTTTTATTGTTTTTTCTAAGACATATTCTTAAGTGATCAAAAACAACTGCAGAGTGTATGGTGGAATACTTTCTTTCTGTGTCTGTCTCTCTGTCTCTCTTTTTGAGACAGGGTCTCACTATACAGGCTGGCCTTGCACTCAGGACAGTCTTCCTGCCTGAGCCTCCCAAGTGCTGGGTGGAACACTTTCATGTATATATATTTTTAAAGGTAGGAGAAAGAATGTGCATATACAAAAACTATTTCCGAAGGTGTATAGAAAGTTAATAATACTGGTTGTGAGGGGAGAAAACTGGGTAGCTGAAAGTCAGGGATATAGTGAAAAAACTATGATTAGAGAAGGGGAGGAACAAGAAGGAAAGGTCCCAAAGCCATCAGCAGTGAGGGTGGAGATGTAGTAGTAGAAAGATAGAAAGAAAAGAAGAGGCAGGATCAGAGTAAAGAAAAGTAGAAATATAAAAAATGAAAGTAGGGTGGGGATTTAACTCAAGTGGTTCCGCTGCCTGCCTTGCAAGCGCAAGGACCAGAGTTCAATCCCCAGTACCAAAAATAAAATAAAATAAAATAAATAAAAAATGAAAGTAAATAAAAAAGATAGACATGGAAAGACTAGATATCAGAAATGAAAATGTTAGATAAGTACATGTCACTGTGCCCTCCTAGTGTCCTATGCAGACCTTCCTCTGTCTTCCATTTCATCTGGAAAACCACCAATGGTCTGTTTCCTCAGGGCTCAAGAGCACTTGGCTCTCAGAGTGGTGCTCAGTAAGCTGAGGCCTAAGGTAAAGGGGAAGCTCTGCAGAAGTAGGAATTGGAGAGCATGCTGCCTCTCCCATGAGACCATGTTGTTGCCTCCTTTATCTGAACTGCTGCACTTAGGATCCAGGCACATACAGTTCAGCACTTGATTTGCTATTTTGCATATGTTTTAAAACCATCTAAATTATAAAGTTCCAAGCACAGGGACTATGAGTTAGGGGTAATTATTAATTGATTAGAAGAAAGGCAGAGACCAGAAAAATAGTAAAAATATTAACCTACCAGACTTGTCTCTCATCCTCAGTTTAGAGAGCTGGACATAAACACCTAAATGAAATTTGCTTACATGGTTTCATCTACTTAGAGAAAAGGTAAGAGGGAAATAGCAGAGCCCCAACTTCTTTGGAAATGTTGTGTAGTATTTTAGAGCATAAAGTTCACATATTTTAAGTATTTGAAAGAGGGAAGTCCTAAGTCAGTGGGTTAATCCATCTATATTTCCAAGGCAGGTGACATTGAATAATGGAACGTCTTGCCCTGCAGAGAGCAGATCAAGGGCAAAACAAACATCAGGCAAAACAAACATCTGCAGCAAAAGTTCTGAGATGTGAAGGAGCTTAGCCTATCCACAGGAAGGAGGTCAAATCTGGCTGAAGCAGCGAGGCCAGGGGAGGAGCTAAGGACACTGAGGAGACATAGGAGGGACAGCTTTACATGACAGGTAAAGAAGGGAACACCACCTCTGGGCTAGTGTGCTTCAGACTTTCTCCCACATAGGAGAAGAGAATTGTGCACACACTGCAAAGTGGAGTGAAGGGAGAGTTAGTGTCAGGGCTCACTATTGCCCCCTCAGTTCTTTGTTTTATATTTGACCCATGCAGATTTCACATTCTACTCCAGAGTGAGTATTTGATATAATATGAAAGATATTTCAAATTACTTACCATTTTATAAATATACTGCCTTTCATATTTCCTTGAATTTGTGGTTATATCTGTAAGCAGTAAGAAACCTGTGAAGTGTTTTAAGCAGGAAAAATAAGTAATGCCTTTATATTGCAGCACTATGGAAAGCAGACTGAAGGGACAAACTGGAAGGAAAGACAGCTTTTGCCAGGTGTTTTCTTGGCTTACCTCAGCGAAAACTTACAGGACTTGTGGGGTGGGTTGAGGTGGGGAACGGAAACTCACGAAGATTGCACCACTAGTACACAATAAAGACTGGTTGACTACTGGGCTTTCCTGACCTCTTTCCATGTACTTCACTTCCAGGATACAGAGGCACAAGGCCTTTCCCATAGTCTAGATGTGAGGTGAGGAGCACCTGATTAGGGAAGAAAGGAGAGAAGAAACAAGGAGAGAACCAACCAGAGAGAATAAAGAGAGTTTTATGACTTCCTCCTGTGATTGGGAAGAGAAGAAAGAAGGCTACTTCCAGGGTCCTAGCTTGGCTGACTGGGTGAATGGTGTTTGCCACTAACCAGCTAAGGATACTCCAGAAGATCAGGTTTAAGGTGGAATTAGAAAGATGTAGATATACTAATTGAATAAGAGAACAAGGCAGCAGAAGCAAGAATGTGGCTTACAGTTACAGAGGTAGACATACAGATATATGGGTAACAGGCCCACCCCTGCCCCCAGCCAGAACAGCATATGAACTTAGTGGAGTCTGGGAATTGTTTATCTTTAGATTTGTTTGAAGAGGTTGTACCAGAGAGCCAGAAAGGAAGAGAAAGGAATTGAGCTGGCCTATCTTGAGCAGCTTCATGGTCAGCACGAAGCCTGGCTTGTTCACAACACAACCAAGTAAGTGGAAAAAGGAGCAATATCAGATAGACCTGCTTTGCAGTTGTTCAAAATGAGAAGTTCAATATGCAGCCCTAAAAAGAAATGGTTGGTTGGAGATGTCCAACATTTTCCAACTCAGAAATTTTATACTGAATATTAGATTCTATTTCTCTGTCCTTTTTTGTAATATTTCCTTAGATTGAACATTGTGATTGATGATTACAATAGTTGGCTCAGAAGGCTAAAATCTTTTGGAAAACATCAGCTGTACTAAGTTGATGTTCCTAGTTTCTTCCTGTCCTCCCTTCAGCTTTGGCATGTTGTCCACTTAAAAATGTTTGGAGCTCTGACCTTCAATATCTATTTCAACTGAAGAGAAGTCTCAGCCTTCCTCTTTCAAGCCAACTTTATTGAATTGGTTTTTTTTAATGCTGCTTATATGTAATTTCATTGAGAAGCCATATGAATTGAGATTTGTTCTCTGAATTACTAAAATTTGGTAAAAATGTGAAGCATGACTCAGATTTTTTTTCTTGTTACCCAAATGTTCATAATTCCTCCAGGCTCCACTTTGAGGCTTTGCTGAACATCCCAGTGCTGGTGTTGAATGTCAGTGATGACTTTTCCGAAGAAGCAACCAAACAAGAAGAACTCATCAGAAAGGTAGGAAGAACCTTAACTCCTACTTTCTAGTAGATTTCTTCTACTGTATGTTTATGTCTCTGGTCCTTGCTTCCAAGTTCAGTATATTAGATCTTATGCATTGCATCTCAAATTGCATTTCACACTCCAAAGCCTGTGGGATCTTTTTTTTTTTTTTTTTGTGGGATCTTTTTAAAGTTACAAATATAATCTCTATTCTCTAAAGTATGTTGAATTAATAATTGTTGAGTAATTGACTTGTAACATGTGGTTGCCAGCTGACTTCCTTCTCTAAAGTATTCTAAAATTAGGGAAATGAGACTTCTGGATTCTTTTCCCAGCTCTGCCACTTGGTGCTATATGACTCTAGGCAGCTCACATTTCTTCTCCAGCCTATTTTCCCTTCCTAACAAAAGCTCATGGGACTGGATATATATAT